AGTCAGATCTGATTTGATGGTACACTCACACAAAAAAACAACAACAACAACAACAACAACAACAACAACAATATTTTATGTTCTATTCCATTATTAGAATTAATTCATAGCTGACCCTCCTTTCCTGTGGCTTTTCAGAGGCAGTAAATCGCACAGGAGGAGATTAACAATTTTTTTTTCTCCCAAAAGAAGTCTGGAACTGTGTGCTTTTTGGACTGACAGTGAAACTCCTTACCATTAAACCATTAGAGACCCCTCTTTTATACCTTGTTGTGGTTGTGTACCATTGAGTTGGAACCAACCCATAGCTGATCTGCCTATGGGTTTTCAGAGGCAGTAAATCTCATGGGAAGAAACTGCCCATCTTTCCCCCATGGAACAGCTAGTGTATTTGAATAGCTTATCTCTGGGTTGGCAGTGCAATTCCTTACTACTAAACTACCAGAATTTAGAAAGGTCATGTTTGTATGCTTTCTCCATACCTATTCAATTCAATCTGCATGCTGAGTAAATTATTCAAGATGCTGGACTCTATATAAAGAAAAAGGTGGTATCAGAATCAGAGGAAGACTCATCAACAACCTACGTTATGCAAACGACATAGCCTTACTTTCTGAGGGTGAGGAGGACTTAAAGTACTTGCTGCAGAAGATCAAAGACTGTAGCCTTCAATATAGATTACATGGGGGGGGGGTTTGTGCGGGGAGAAGGGTGCAACAATGAATGAATGGAATTCCAAAATCTCTGTAGATGTTCATTGAAATGAAAAATAAACAAACTAAGTTAATAAAAATATATATATAGATTACATGTCAACATCAGGAAAACAAAGCTTCTCACCACTGGGCTGAGTATTGAATATATCATAGACTGCTAAGAGAACAAACAGGTCTGTACAGGAGAGGGAGAAACCAAGTTGCTCTTTTTAGGCAAGGATTCTGAAGCTCCATCTCACATAATTTGGGCTTGTTGCCCTGAGCGACCAATCCTTGGAGAAGAACACCATGCTTGGAAGGGTGGAAGGACAGTGCAAGAGAGGACGACCTTGGATGACATGGACTGGCTCAGTAACTGGGGTAAAGGGGGTAAGTCTGTCGGAGACAATGAAATTGGTTCAAGAGAGAGCAGGGTTCAGAGTTGTGCAAAGGGTTGCTATGAGTTGCAAGTGACTTGACAGCATACAACAATAATAATATAGGAACAAACTGATAACAGCAACCCAAAAGATTAGAAAGTAACATAGAGGGTAGAGATTTTGTTAATAAGAAACAATTCAGAAAAGGGAGATGAGAATAGTCACACAACTCAAAGAATGTAATCAGTGTTGTTTTCAGCAAAATTTTCTAGAGATTTATCCAAATCGTTGCATTTATCAATGTCATTCTCATTCCTTTTTATTAGGGAATAGTATTTCATGGTATAGATTACCATATTTTAAGTTATTTCTTAGGAATAAATATATTTTAACATTTCCTGCCCTGCCCCGTGATTTGTCTTGTTTATCCCTTTTAAAAATTAATACTTTGTTGTATGCATTGCAAATTCTTATTCCCAACTTACCTGTGTTTATATTTTCTTCATAAAAGCTTTTTGACTATTACACAGTCAGCGTTTTCCTGTATTTTCTTCTAATGCTCTTATGGGTATGCTGGCAGTTTTTTAACATTATGATCTTTAATCTAATTTAGTACAAAAAAAGGGCCTAAGTTCTAGTTCTTGCTGTGCCAATACGTGGCAATATACATAGTTCTGGGCAGGTTACCAGCTCGTGGCACCAGTTTTTTCTATTCTTCAGAATTGCTGTGACCAGCATTCTCCAAAAACAGATACATATCCTTATCAAAACTGTATAAAGCAGGGGAGCTCTGGTGGCCTAGTGGCAAGGAGCTGCAACTACAATCCCAGAGTGGCACGATTTGAATCCACCAGATGCTCTGCCGGGGAAGGAGGGACAATCTCCTCCTGTACCAGTCAGATCTGATTTGATGGTACACTCACACAAAAATAATAAAATGTAAAAAAAAATTGTATAAAGCATTATATATGTATAATAAAGAGCCCTAGAGGTATCGCATACAATGTGTTTGGCTGTTAAGAGTTGGTGGTTCTTACCCAACAGCTGCTCCTTGGGAGAAAGAAGGGCATCATCCCACAAATAATTACAGCCCAAGGGTCTGAGGAGATATTGTAATTAATTATATTAATCAAGTGTAATTAATGGTATAAAACGTGTCTGAATGATTGAAAACCAGTACAATGGGTTCAATGCAGTTTTTAGGTGTTCTTTTTGTGCATGTCTCTGTGTGTGCATGCTTGCTGAATTCTAATTGTTTAATGGTTATATTTGTGTAGTTGGTACGATATGTGTATGTTGAAATCCATCAGCTACTTTTTAAAGAGGTCACTGCAGAAAGAATTCAGATTGAAACCTTTACTTAATCCTACAAAAAGGGCAGGGTTTATCTTAATGACTTAAAAGAATGGAAGTTTATGGGGGGATAAAACACACCCAAACAAAACATCAGCATGATTTGTAAACTTGCACTCAAATTAAAGAAAGAAAAGTACAACAATGAATGAATGGAAATCTAATGTCTCTGTAAATTTTCATTGAAATCAATAATAAATTTAGAAAAAAGAAATGAGAGAAAAAAAAGAAAGAAAAGAAAAGAGGAGGGAGGGAATATTTACAGCCTTGGAAACCTCTTAGAAAGTCACTATGAGCTGGACTTGACTCAACGGCAGTGTCAATGAATATAAAATATATTTTCATATTGGTTACAAAGAACTCATAATGTCAGCCTCAGAGAGATTTGTCCTTCCTCAAATGCCTACATCCAAAGAGGCCAATTGACTTCCTCAGGGTCACAGCTAAGTCAGTGACATGGTAAAGAAATGGTTCCAGAAGTAAAATGAAGCAGCTATCTGCCAGCCCTTCCCCCAAGTAGGAAAGCCCCAGGTCCTGAGGTGAGGCCTATTAAAAGTGACCTGTCATCACTTGTCTGTATTCGTATCTCTACAAATGAAAACATTATACTGTCAGAAAAATGGAGAGCCTATAATCAGGATGCAGTGGGGTGACAGCAAGAGAATGTACACAGGATAGAATGGGAGGTCTGAATTTCATGTTATAGGCTCCCACCTTGTTTCCGACAGCCTGGGATTTTGATAAAGGCTCCATAGTCTGTTACCATAGCAACCTATAAAGAAAAAAAGTCAATATGTCACACAAATGAGAACCCTCTCTTCCATGACAGTTAACCTACTCTCCTTGAATTTCGAGTTGGTAGATTTTCTCTGCCTGCTACAAAACTGCCTAAGTGATATTCTATCAAACATTTTTTCTGTTCTTTTTGATATTTAGACAGACAGGTATGTGTATATGTGTTAACAACACTGGTAAGAATATGGTGTGTCAGATGGTAGGAGGCCAACCAGCAGTGCCCAAGTCCCATTCATATGAAAATCCCCAAAGAAAGTACATGAACAAAGGAAGCAAATGGAAGAAAATAAAATCACAAAGTTACTCTTTTTTTTTGCTTTAAAAAAATAACAAACATTTTTTTAATTAGGGGTTTCCACCACCCTTAAAGCCCAAATCACTGTAGTCTATACAATCATCCTTCATATGCTCATTCCTTTGTTAAGGATGAGTTCATCCTGGACTGTATATCCAAGTGTGTGTGTAAGAGATACTGGCACACATCACAAATAGCAAGTACATCCACAGAGACAGAGAAACAGCTGAGTTTTTGTTGTTCCAAGCACTTCACATTCATGTTCTTGGATCTGCCACCTTCCCATTGGAATTGGCAGATTACTTCTTTGGAGGCAGAACATTTTCCTCAAAGAAACCAGGGTTGACAACATTCCCTGCAGGGAAGTACCTAGCCACCACAAAGGAGGACCCGTCACTTGCAGAGGCCTTCCCCACTCCCATCTTCTTTGTATTCTTCCACACCATGGCTGTGAAGTGGCCTGTCCCCGAGGTGAAGCCTGGGTTCTGGAAGTTGTAGCTCTTGATTTCACTGTACCATCTATCAGCCACATCCCTTCCTGGCTGGTTGTAGGATGCCCAGGCCAGGTTTTCTCCACATTGGCCACGACTTGACTCCGGGCTGTGCTTGAGGATCCTTGTGCTGGCCAGGGCCTCAGAATACTGCTACGCCTCTTGGTTGAGTTTCTTGCAGAGCTTCAGTAGAGGGACACCATGCTTCTGCTAGTACTCATTGTGGGCCTTCAGGACCTCATTATTGAACTGCTTGGAAGCTGACTTGCCCATGGCCGGCCGGCCGCACGCTCCCGGGCTCCGCTGAGGCACAAAGTTACATTTTATAGTTGGGCTAAGACTTCAAATCTCATACAGAGAATTTCAATAAATTAGGGTGAATCATCAACCTTTTTTCCTGTATTTCAAACCAAACCAAATGATATATTATGTTCTCTTTTACTCCAAATCTGATCATGGATTTTATCAAGGGAATGGGAAAAAGCTAGCAGAAGATATAATCAGAGAGGAAAAGGTTTGTCTCAACTCTTTTTACAGAATTAATCTACAAATGAAAAGGTGCAGACAGGGTGCTCCTTAGAGGAAAGGATAGTGAAACTTCATCTCACATACTTGGGGCATATTGTTAGGAGGGGCCACTCCTTGGAAAATGACATCATGCCTGGAAAGGTCAAGGGTCAGTCAAAGAGGGAAAGACCTTCAGTGAGACGGACTGACACAGCAACTCAGCATAAGCTGAAGTGTGTTAGAGAGGATGAGGATGGGACAGGATAGGGCAGGGTTCAGATCTGTTGTTCATAGGATTGCTATGAGTCGTACTCGGTTTGATGGCACCTTACAACAACAATAACAACACAGAATTCTAAGACGTAAGTACCTTCCTAGTTTTGGTCAGATTTGTTGTTGTTGTGTACAATCGAGTCAGAACCAACCCATAGCTGACCCTCTGGCAGGTTTTCAGAGGCAGTTAATTACACAAGAGGAGACTGCTCATCCTTCTCCCAAGAAGCAGCTGGTGGCCTTGAACTAAGTGCCTTCAGAATTTCAGAGCAGCTTCTTGCCACTAGGCTACCAGATTAGCTCTGTCTATTATTTGGCTGAAAGATGAGCCACAGGGGTGAATTCAATCCCAGGTTCAAAGGCTGACTATGGGCTACCGTCTCCATTAATCAAGTGGACCAATAAGCCTGGCCATTTTTATGATTTTTAATCTGGTTCCACATTTTTCTACTAATCTATCCAGAACAATTTAATTTTACTCCTTTCTGAGCACTCAGCAAGGCTAGCTGGGCACCAGCTAGTTCTTCTGGTCTTGGGGTCACGACGGCTGAAAGTTCCCTGGTTCATTACCACTATGGACTCACTGATTTTATTCATCTTTTCTTTTCTTCACTCTTAGCTCCGAACAGAAAGAGACAAAGTGCTGTAAATCAAATAGCTGCATGAGAGCTTTTAAGACTCAAGTCACTACTCATGTAGTCTAACTTTTTAGATTAGTTCAGCATACATACTGGTTAAGAATAGTGAAAGGATACAACTCCGAAGCACTTCTTGTCTGATTCCCAATCATGCAGTCCATGAGTAACCCCTGTTATGGTTGAATATTATGGTCCTTCTTTACTATACAGATTCATCATGAGCACAACCAAATGTTCTAGAATTCACACTCATCTTGATAACATACATACTTTATCACAATTCACAGTGAAAAGGTCTTTACATAATCAATAAATCACAAGTATTCTTTCTGGTTTTCTCTGATTTCTCCCAGGACTCACTGGCATCAGCACTGATATCTCTACTTCCATAGCCTCTACTGAATTAAATGTAAATTTCTGGCTATTCTCTTTCTGTGCACTGCTCTAGTAATGTCTTAGTAATCTTCACCAAGATTTTACTTGTGTGTGATATTGTTTGATAAATCCACAATCTGTTGAATCACCTTTTTATGGAATGGGAACAAATATGGATCTCACCCAGTTAGCTGGTAAAGCAGAACTCTTCTAAATTTCTTGGCATAAATGGGTGAGCATTTCATGGGTTCTATCTATGTTTGCTGAACTATCTCAGTTGATAATCAATTCCAGGAGCCTTCTTTCTCGCCATGTCCTCAGTGCAGCTTAGGCTTCTTCCTTCAGTACCACTAGTGCTTGATCATAGGTTACTTCCTGAAATGGTTCCGTGTCCACAAATTCTTTGTGATATATTGACTCAGTGTATTCCTTCCATTGAGACTTGAATTTGTTCTTCAGTTCTTTCAGCTTAAGAGTTAAAACTCCATTTTATGATTAAGAAAATTCTTAGAAACTACATTGTCTACGGTCACATGGTTAATAGTAGGCAAAGTTAAGATTCTAATCCAGATCCTTTCTCTAAGTTCACTTTGTACTAAATCGTAGCTGGGATCATAAAAACAAAAATCTAGCCCACTGCCATTAGTTCGATTTTGACTCATATGACCAGGCAGAACTATCTATAATTTTTTCTAAGGCTCTTTTTGCCTACTCTTCTCTCACAGAAAAAGCCAATGGGTTTGAACCACCTACATTTTTATTAGCAGCCAAAACCTTTCATCACAGCATCACCAGAATTTTCCATCACCATCCGCCCCACTGCCATCTGTCAATTTTGGCTCCTGGGGACTCTTTATCAGGTTTCTGAGGCTATAAATCTTAACATGAACAGACTACTTCCTTTTTTCCCAAGGAGTAGCTGGTAGATTTGAACTGCTGAACTTCTTGGTTATCCACTCAACACATAACTTGCAAAGCCACCAGGATTTCTTCCAAGATTGCTTAGCTATATGGAAGAAACAAAGGGTTTACAGGAGAATCCTTTTAACTGAACTGGGGTAGAGAGGAAAGGAAAATGGTAAACACAACTGTTTTAGTCACTTGTTCATTTCTTCATTATGTTATCAGAGTCTACCTTGCACTTTTTCTTATTAATATTCATTGTTACACATTTTCTCCACTCTACTTTGTACTTACATATGTCTCCTATACTAGATAGGGAGGTGGAAAGCAGGGGTCATGGCTGCTCATATATCTAACTACTTCTAATTCCTTTTAAAGTACACTTGTTATCTTTTTCCCCCTTTAAGTTGCTTTTATTTGACACAACCCTGCTCGCTGAAACTGAGGAGGACTGCAGAGGGTCATGGACTGCAGCCTTCAGTATGGACTGAGGCTCAATGTTAAGAAGACAAAGATTCTCTCCACTGGACCAATCGGTAGCATCAGGATGGATGGCGAAGAGATTGAGATTGTTCACAGCTTCAGATTGCTCGGCTCCACGGTCAACACTCTTGGCACCAGCAGCCAGGAAATCAAAAAACGTATTGCGATGGGAAAGTCTGCTGTTAGGGACCTCTCTAAAGTACTCAAGAGCAACGGTGTCTCTCTGGACACTAAGGTCCACCTGATACAGGCCATGGTTTTTGCAATCACCTGTTACGCATCAGAGAGTTGGACAATGACTAGGGAGGATAGAAGGAGAATTGACGCCTTTGAGCTGTGGTGCTAGAGAAGAGTATTGAATGTACCATGGACTGCCAAGAAAACAAATTCATCCTAGAGAGGGTTAAACCAGGCTACTCCTTGGAGGCAAGGATTCTGGGGCTTCGTCTGACATACTTTGGACATGTTGTAAGGAGAGACAGGTCTTTAGAGAGGGACATCATGCTGGGTAGAGTAGAGGGACAGCGCAGGCGGGGAAGGCCCTCTATGAGGTGGATTCAGTGACTGGGGTAATCGGGATGGGTGTGTCAGAGGCAATGTGATTGGCACAGGATAGAGCAGGGTTTAGGGTTATTGTACATAGGGTCGTTATGAGTCGCAAAAGACTCGACGGCACATAACAACAACAACAACAACAATCTGGCATGATATTTTGTACTTATTGGGTACTCAGAAAATGTTTCAATAAAGTTGAACCCAAGTCTTAAGATCAGCTGTCCTTGAAGAAAATAGTTGTTATTGTTGTGAACCATTGAGTTGGAATTGACCCATAGCTAACTCTCCAGCAGGTTTTCAGAGACAGTTAATCACACAGGAAGAGACTGCTTATTCTTTTCCTGTGGGGCTGCTTGTGGATTTGAACTGCATGCCTTTGGGACTGCACCACAGTTCCTTACCAGCAGGCCACCCTAACTCCCTGAAGAAACTATTAGAGATGCTCATAGCCTAATAA